CCGCCGGAGAGCGCCGGGCCGTCGTCGGGCGCGCCCAATTCGGCCCCGCCGGCTCCAACGCCGGCGCCGCCCTCCTCCGCCGCGACCGCCGCGGACACAAACGAAAACGGGTCCGACGGCGCCGGCTGAGCGTACGCCGCGGCGCGCCCGCGGCCAGGGCCGCCGCGCAGCGGCGTCAGCTCGCCGCCGGCGCCCGCGGGCGCGGCGACAGCGTCGCCGAAGCCGCGGTCGTGGCCGGCGCCGGTGGGCGCGTAGAAGTCGTCCATGGCGCTGCGCCCGAGGCTGGGCAGGGACAAGGCGCCGCCGCCGCCGCCGTCCGGATTCGACATGCGGCGCGGCATCATGGGCGAGCCGCCGCCGACGTTGTCCTCGTCGTCCGCGTCGGGCGGCGCGGAGTGGTCGATGCGCTCGATCTGATCTGGGTGGAACATCGCGCTGAAGCCGCTGCCGCAGCAGCAGCCGGCGCTGCGGAAGGGTCACCGAGTGTTTACTGTGCGCTGCCGCTGGCGCGAGCTCAGCTTTGGTCGCGGCGCCGCCGCTGCCGCACCTTCACAGCGCGCCGCGCCCGCCAGCTGTGCTGCTCAGCGGGTTCCGAGGCGGACGGGGGCTGTGCCGGCTGCGGGCGTGTTTGGGTCCGCGCGTGGCGGCGTGTCGCGCTGCCGCTCAGCCACGCTGCGCGATGCCTTGCTTGCAGCTGCAGTTGGCTGCCCCTTCTCCCCCGCCTTCGTGAGCAGATATTAAAAGTCGTTCACATCGCCGTTCCGTGCCTTCCTCGTGGCGCCTGTCCGCGAGCGTTCCGCTCAAATGTCAGATCTGCAGCGAGAAGGCGCCGGGCATGTTTTGAAAAGGCTGCGCACGTCGAATTGAGCCAGTCATGGTGACAGAGCAATGTACAGCCGGCTGTCTTGCATGACGCCACAGCGCGGCGGCAGACCAGAGGGCTCGGAGTCCGCGATCGGCCCCGGGCGCGACTGCGCGCCGGAAAAGCGCCGTGCTCAGCAGCACCCTCCCGGCCATGCAGCCTCGGCGACGGCCGCCGCGACGCTGACCCTGACACTGCGGACGCCGCAGGTGAGCCAGCAGGTCGGCCACAACCGACCCTTTGTACTTTTTTCTGACTCAGCGCCCTCCCCGCCCCTCCCCTTTTCGCTCCACCGCGAACCTCTCGCGCCTGGAACCTTAGGCGCGGCAGACGCGGCCCCAAGCCTCCCGAGCCACCCTGCTTTTGGGCTGAGGGGTGACGAGCCCGCGAGCCCAAGGACATCTGACCCATTCTCTACGAGCCGCCCCCTCCTGCTTGCTGTCGGACGCAGCCGCCGAGATACAGCACTGCGCAGGGTTGCGCCCCGCCCCCCGGCCCCCCGGCGGCTGCGCCAGGGGGGAAAGGAGGCGCCCGCTCGGCCCCCGCTCGGCGCCCGCTCGGCCCCCGCTCGGCGCCCGCTTGGCGCCTGCGCGGCGCGCGCGGGGCGGGCGGGCTGGCGCCCTCGAAAGCAGGGCTGCCAGCGACCGCTTGAGGCTAAAAAACGACCGCGACCTTGGGACCATGGTATGCAGCAAATACAGGACAAAGTCCCCCAAAAGGAAATCAAACGAGCGGGATTTGAAGGCACGACGAGAGGCGGGAACAGCAAGACAGCCACGGCAAGCCGGTCCATGGTTCGTGGTCCGATGACACGCGTGCCGAGTCGGAAGGTGCGCTGAGGCGCATGCCCCCTCCCCGCCCTTGCGTGCCCAAAATCGACAAGGGCGAGGACGGGACCGCGCAGCCCGTGCTCCCCTTAGTCATCCTCGTCATCCGGCGCATACTGCGGCCCCGCCCCCGGCCCCGCTGCCGGTGCTCGCGCCGCCGCCGGCGCCGGCGCGGGCGCGACCGCCGCCCCTGGGGCGTCCAGAATGTCGTCATCATAGCACAGCAGCTGCCGCCCGCCACCATCCACGAGAACGCCGCCCCCGCCGCCGCGACCGCCGCCGCCGCCGCTGCCCAGGCCATACCCAACAGGGTCGCTGCCGCCGCCGCCGCCGCCGCCGCCGCCGTTGCCCGGCGCCGGGGGTCCGTCCGCCGGCCGCTTCGCGCCGACCCGCGGCTGCTGCTGCTGCTGCTGCTGCTGCTGCTGTTGCTGCTGCTGCTGGTGCTGCTGCTGCCCCTCCGTCAGCGACCGCGCCCACTCCTGCTGTCCCTTGTAATCATAGTATCCAAACCGCCGCCCGATTTCCTGCGGAACACCAGCCACCCACGCC